GCAGATTATCTAACCCGACAGTGCTAAGCATGTTGCTTATAAGAACAAACGATGTTTTGAAGTCATGAAATTTTCGATGATCCACAGGTCGAAATTTGGGGTTTACCGAAAAATTCAATTTTTCAAAAATTTATTTGTTCTCATCAGCAACATGCTTAGCACTGTTGTGTTAGATGTTTAGTACAACTTTGGAAGGTTTTCGTTGACTTCGGAGAAAGAAAAATGACTTTGAAGAATAGATGTTCGTCCCCCAGGGATCATCAGGGGATCCTACAAAAAGCTGGGAAATGCGGCTTATACAGCTTGTCGCTTCTGCTCAATATGTTCATAGTGAAGGATGGTGGGAGTACTTACGGATAGGTAGACAGCGCGAAATCCAGATATCCGGAGCTTCAGGATATGAAGCTTTCTTCTGAAGCTGCGATCCCCTCCCCATCGGGAATGTTAGTGCATGCGGCCCTAAATGGCTTTGGAGCCCTAATAGAGTTTCTGAAGATATTGGTCCTAATCGAAACTAGAGATGTTAAAGAATCAAGCAATATGAGTATTGTAATCCTTATTGTAGTCTTCATTCAAGTTACTTACCACTATGCCAGTCGACACTTTTTTTGTTTCTATAGTGCTCGTAGACAAGAGCCGACATCTGAAGGGTGCCTCAACCCCAATGGGTAACAACCCTCATAACTTCTTCCAGAAAACCACTTCGCAGCTAAAAATTATAGATTTGGAATCAGCGTTTTGAGCGCTGTAAGATGATACGTCTCTCATCTGAATTGGTGCTTTCGACTAGGTATCCTCTTCTTGTCAGATCATGAAGAATCATGAAGGCGTTTCCCCAGATCACTTCTGTCAAAATTCTGCGAAGATTTTCTTTGCTCGCATATTTAGGATGAATCCCAGCTTCGCAACAACTTGGATTCCGCAAAGACACCTGAATGAACCACATCCAGACGGTTTCGAGGGTCGTAGAAGTCTGCCGAAAGTGCCGATTAACTCTCGTCCTGACCTTCGTCGACTGCGAGAAAGCCTTGGACAGCGTCGAAACCAGCGGCATTCTTCTAGCGCATCGAGTGCTACAAGGACTGTACAACAACGATGCAGCTATTCCATTGCCCTCTGACCGTTCCAGTTGGAAAGGGGGTCCAACAAGGTCACAGTTCTTCGCCGAAGCTGTTCAGCGCGGCCTTGCAGTGGGTGAGGAAGTCGCTGGACTGCAACAAGAGAGGCATATAAGTTGATGGGATTCTTTCCGAACCCTTATATAACGGACGACAACGTTCCCTTTCCGAGCAGTATCACTGAGGCAGAAACGATCTGAAGAAACTAAACGCAGTAGAAAAGTTGATCGGACCGCGAATAAATAGGAAGAAGACTCAGTTTATCAAGAACCTCCTCTGCCAAAATGCGGAAATAGAATTGGAAGGCACGTCTATCATGGAGATTACATGTATCTACATCTTGGTCCGTAGTAATCCACCCGACATGATGGCATAAGACATGACGGCGACCTCGCGAACCTCATGACAAGCTCATGTTTTGGGCGTGAGGTTCGCGAGTTTCTATAGCCTTTCGATTTTACAGGTAATCACGTGCAATGGAAGGTCGACCGCAAAACCATTGTACCTGCTGTGATAGAACTCTCCTCTAATCAACGAGAGTCAGCGCGTTAACCTATTGAAAACACACGTGTACATCTTCACACTGTCTAGGAATCATAATCAACCAGTTCACAACCTTTGCTAACATGTTCATTCCACTATGCCTGTAGAGTTGGGCTATCAAAGACTGGCAGATAAGGCTATCATACAGGAAGAAACGTGTATACCTATAATCTTCGATTTAAGCCATTTGAGGTAGAGGTTAGATTACAAAAACTTTGCGACTAGAAGCTCCTCCTCAACAGAACAGTTTTGAGATAGCTTTGAGAACATCAGTCAGACAGTTTTAATAGTATTGTGTGCTTCCAAAAAAACGATGTCCTATATGGAAAATGGAACTACTGCTGCGATGGTGTCTTCTCTTCCTTTGCACTAACATGACCCTCATCGACAATGTTTTCATGTCTTGGTCTTGTCCTAGAAGAAAGCGTTGTCGACCGCAGATGGCCGACATTGGGAGACATACAGTCGAGTAGATTTAGCGGTAAATATAGTGTGCTTGCACAGAAGGTGAAATGCGGTAAAATTGGCGCGTGAAGAGATAGTTTCGACTGTGACGCCGGCCAATTGCGCGCGCAAGATACCCGCGGTACTGACGTGGCTATTTGTTCACGAGCAAATTTCACCGCATTTCACCTTCTGTGCAAGCACACTATAATTACCGCCAAATCTACTCGACTGTAGGCGAGCTTATAACGTTACTACCAGCACAAATCGTGTTATAAGAGTCGAGCTCTCGCTACAAGTCAGCTGCCCATCGCCAAACTCACTAGTCTTGCAGTAACGACTCGACAAAAATTGTACAAGGTTACCACTTACTGCTGGAACACCGAAGGCGACTATCAGCGACAATGCCTATGTAAGCCACAGACATTGCATCAAAAGTCTTCCAGACATTTGCTGCAACGAACATTGAACTAGAGCTTTGAGAGTGGGATAGTTGATTATGAATGGAACTCGATGTGGACGAACTGATGTCTGTGAACTCAATGCCATGTACAGTCGAATAGATTTAGCGGTAAATATAGTGTGCTTGCACAGAAGGTGAAATGCGGTGGAATTTGCGCGTGAACAAGTAGCCACGTCAGTAGCGCGGGCATCTTGCGCGCGCAATTGGCTGGCGTCACAGTCGAAACTATTTCTTCACGCGCCAATTTTACCGCATTTCACCTTCTGTGCAAGCACACTATATTTACCGCTAAATCTACTCGACTGTACATCCTCAGTCGTAGCAGCGCTGTTTTTTCCAGCAATACTTCATTGAGAGAACAAGAATTCTACCAGAGAAAAAAAGCACATCCCATTATTCCACCACAAACTATGATAGCACAGCAAAAGCAAGCACCCGGGCAACCTTGCATTAACATGCATGTTCGCATCTATTGAATACTGGGCTAGGAAACTTTTATAACTCCACAGGAGGAAGTGACAAGTAACGCTGCAGTACAGGAGCGCAATGCAAGTGGGACTGAATTAGAGCACTCCTACAAACGGAAAAAGAAGATAGGGTAGATAACGATAACACGGCATAGGACGAAAAAAACAGGAAATCTAATCTTTCTATACTGAAACAAAAACATCAGATAATTACTGTATCAACGGGAGGGTATAACAAGCAGCGAGATATGCCGTGGCAGCAATATCATGGTTGGAGCCACCGTAGTAGATTGCGGCAATGAGATTTCCAAATATCGAAGGCGATACATGTTGCTAGATGCTATGTAATCGTATTCCGAGGGAGCACATCCTCTGAAAAAAGCGATTACAGGTCCGGTAACAAGACTCAGACACTCGCACCGGCCGGCGGCCGTTCCACGACCGGCCGGTCCGTCACCGACATTTCGGCCGGGACGATCGCCAGCCGGCCGCCAGCCGGTACTCGAACGGTGACCGGCCGGTACTCGAACGGGGACCGGCCGGTACTGGAACGGCGACGGGCCGGTACTCGAACGGCCACCAGCCGGAATCCGAACGGCCGCCAGCCGGTACATCGTGGAAGCGCCATGAATTAGCAATGGAGCGCGCTATAATGCAGCCTTCACAAGAGCCCACTATTGCTCTTCAAAAACCAACACATATTCTCTTAGTCGCTTTTTCTTCAATACTCTATTGACAATGTAAGATCTACACTAAATTTTATTAACAAATATAATGCATAATAACAAATACCATACACATTATAAGAAAACGAGCACATGATGCATATAGAAGCAAACAGCACCGGCAAGCGAGAAAAAATTGCACTTTCTTCAGAATGCATAGTAAAGGTAATACAAAAATGACAGAAATGTGGAATGCAATGGGGGATGGTCACAGAAAAAAAAATGCACATCACATACGAGATAAATATGCCCTGGATAAAGTGAGGATCCATGATGGAATCGATCGAAGAATCAGATTCAAGCGATTTGGTTCGCAGAAATATTAGGTTGAATCGAAAGTTCGTTCGCACCATTCCAAAAAGCCGTAACTTTTTGTCTTACGATAATCTCAGTAGACAAAAATAGTATTAGGAAGAGCAAAACGTATGCTTTCTAATGGCACCTTGCTTGCCTTTTACTTAGCCTTGATTGCAGAGGTAAAATTACGAAAAGAAAATCGATTCAATTTCGGTATTTTGTGGCAAGCGCGCTAGAAATTCCGAAAATGTGATATAAAATCCAAAACAGGCAGTATCCTAGGTTTTTTGATCACCTCTTTTCAACCTGAGCAAAATTCGCGCTAATCGAGCCCTCTGAAGAAAGTTAATATTTCCTGGAAATAATGTCAAAAATCAAGCTTAAGGGTAATTTTTTGGCATTTTTTCTCAAGAAACGCCAAAAATTGCCAATTCTATCCCGGATTTTAAGGCACATTTTTGGAATTTCTACCGGGCTTCCCTCAAAATACCAAAATTGAATCGATTTTTTGCAATTTCATCTCTACAATCAAGGCTTAGTAAAAGACAAGCAAGGTGCCATTAGAAAGCATATGTTTTGCTCTTTCTACTACTGTTTTTGTCTAGTGAGATTATCGTAAGACAAAAAAGTTACGGTTTTTTGAAATGCTGCGAACGAAGTCTCGGTTCAACCCAATACGCAATGAGCTTTTTGATCGTTTTAAGCGTTTTTTTTTTCGGTGTCCGTGCGTGCAACGCAAAAGAATCACAATAAGAAAATGAATCCAGTTTCTATACATCCGACTAAGTCCAAAAACGCCTGCACAAGAAGAAAAAAGGCAAAGACGACAAAAAAAACTCTAAGTACAAGATATACTGATAAAGGTGAGTGGTTACAGGGTTAAGGTGGTTACACAGCCATCCCAGCTCTGGGCGTACTCCTTCCTGCATTGTTCGTTGTGGTCTCATGGCGAGACGTTCTCGTCTCCCGCAGCTTCTCGTCTCTCGTCTCCCGATGCAGCTCCAGCTGATGTGTCTGAGACTCGCACTCTTTTGCCTTTTCGCTGAAAATGCATATTTATATCCAGCAAAATTAATGGTAAATGAATGAAAACTCACACTGCTTGGAACGAACCGCTCTTCATTGTAGTCGTAACGGCTCTGTCTTACATCGCGCCTGAAATGTAATCTATGAGAGTCTGTAAAACATCGGCACAAACGTCAAAGAAGAAACCTTGCAACGCCGCTTTCAGCTAAAAAGGAGCGATGGCTGTAAAGATGTAACGGTCAAACTACCGCATTTCAAAGCTCAATATTTACAAGAATCTTCATTTATTATACATCAACTGTGATAAAAGATGAGATCAAAATTAAACACTTGAGATACATCCTTTGAGAAAAGTACCCACAGTATTGCGCGCCACTAAAACCGAGAAGCGTAAGACCTACTAGCTATTTCTGCAAAAGTAGCTGGTCCATTTATGAGTTCTACCGGTCTTACTCTGATTCGCTGTCCGGTCAACTCTTTGAAAAAATTATTGTTTGCACTAATGGATCTCATAATCTGTAAACCTGTCCGCCGACAAGGATGAGGCGTATGGTTCACTAAGTTACCCAGATGTTCAAAGGGGTCAGTACTAACAAACTCCTCAACGAGGACTTTGATCGATTTATTGCGGCGGTTATAGAGGAACATGAGTATGGAAGCAAAATGGTCAAGCTCTTCGTCTCCGTCGCGTCCGCAAAGATAGACCACATCTTGGCGGGTACTCCGTGCTCTATTCCAGTACAGACGGGACGAGTATATTTTACCAGAGATAACCACTCTTGAGCTGGAACTTGTGAGAAATGTGGACCATACTATTCAAGAAGATTCACCACCTACTAGGCTTCCTCACGAAAAACCGTAATCCGTGCTTTATGATCTTCCGACAAAAGACCAGGCGCGATTCTACTCCCCTTGGGGATGTATGTGGAATCATTGATTCGTATGGCCAAGGGGAACCTCAAAAGTAAGCTGCGAAACTATATGGGCTCAGATCACTCACCTTCGCTTGTGTTTGTTCTCAATCTTAGACTTAAGGGCGAGCATGGTAGTGTTGCCATCCTCGCAACAGTTATAAAACAGGTTTCTCACTCTTTTTGACAAAATGTACCTAAACTATTGCGAATGCATTCACAAATTAACTCACAAAAACCACCTCTCGATCATCTCTATAGAACTATTCGTCGTGGACTGGTCGATACGGATTTGCAACCTACGGTGCAAGCTTTCGAAAGGGGCCGAAGACCATTGGTACATCGAGCCATAAACATCTAGTTCGTGCGCCATCCCGTGCTCAAAGAATCACTAAACATAGAAATGCCAAGTCACAATCTCGTGCTCATGGCACTAACGTGGCATTTCATGGTGAAAACCTCCGGTGCCAATTCTGCCCATATCTGCTTGACACAAGTTGCCATAGACTGAGCTTCTCTGATGACATCGAGGGTCATTGATTTGGAATGAGCCATGGTTCTCAAGCAGAACCAATAGCCAAGTAGCGAAGCAGCTGCGACGGGAGATGCAATCATTCCCGTGGCAGCAACTAACGGGAAAGTGACGAAAGCTAACTATAAACGCAAATTATGGCCCTTGGCAAAGAGTTATCTGAAGAAAACCTCGTCCAACTCCGTTGCTGTGCAAGTCTTCAGGTCTTCCAGGGATAAGATCAACGAGTTGGCATACGTATGGCTGGATAACTTTCTTAGACACGATTTGATAAGTTCAGTATTATGATGATCGACGCGCAATTCCGCGAATTTAGACTTCGGGCCACCAAACATATCTATGCAAAATAATTACAATTGTAGAAAGAGGCCAAAAAACAACCTCTAATCCTATCCCTCGTGACTCCCTCAGAGCATACGTGAAGCGAATCTGAGGAAAAAGCACTTGGAAGCATAAGCCTCATAACAGGGGTCATTTCTGAAAGTTTTGCACCTCCCTGAGAATTCGTGAAAATGTTGCAATAAAGAAACAACGCACGCATGATGCCAAACTGCCCAAAATTTTGAGCATCTTCTGCGTACGTTTCCGGGGTCCGAAGCGAGACGATCTCGTCTCGTTCAGCTAACCACATACGCTGTCTTCTTTCTACCATTCCCTTTACTGTGCATTTCGAGCAGCCGAAGTCACGATTCCACGCAGGCACTCCATACATAATTTTCTGCGCCTACATCGTAAAACACCATATTTCTGCATTTGCATCTGACAAAGTCTCACGGCCATATCAGCGACTCCACGATACAGGCAAACTTCTACGGTCCACATTACTCCATCTAGGTCGACAACGATAGGGGTCTCACGTAATGTGTTCAATTCTGCTTCCAATCTAGATGTGTCTCATCAACTTTCCGAAGTAAAGGTGAAGCGATTCACCTGCTGAATAAAGTCTCCATCATTGTTTCGGTAGGCTTAGCTGGTGAGTATAGTGCGCCCGCAAGCAGAGAGTTGAAATAGTCGTTAGCTTCCGATCTGGGCAAATTCTCAATGCGAAGATAGAGCGGCCAAACTTCGCGGCTAAGAGTTGTACGAAATTAAGATCCTCTGTCTTCAGAAAAACGTTCAAAACGATACCGTGACAAGCGCCTAGGAACAAAGCCGTCTACTGAGATCGTCAAAAGTATGCGTAGTCGATTTGCAGCAAATTCTTCGGCACTCTCTATGGCTTCACGATAGCCATCAAAATGCCGTGGGTCACTTCTATCAGCTGCGACAACCTAATTCGGTGATTGAGATGGATAAAACTTGATATGGAGCTCTAAAGTAAGATACTGACCCCAACTTCGTGCAACTCGCGATGGAATCCGATTATATGCTCAATATGAACCGATATGATATCGGATAACTGTGGAATGACATCGAGCACATGAATCTCGGTCCTTTGCACTGCTCTAGCTCTTTTGATGCTTACACTGAGGTGAAAAAATGCTGACATTACTTCGAAACTTCCGTATCATCAACCCCACCGATAGAGCGCACACCCGACATTCTCGCAGAGCTCCCTCCATTCGCTCAAGCGACTGCCGCAAGACGTGCAGAAGAAATAGCGCTTCCGATTGAATTCGCTCAAAAGCTCCCTATTCAGTTCGCGAACATGTCCAAAATACTAAATTCTGTGGGTACTTTTCGATAACATGCGCACATAATACAACTAAATACATTGATGGGTGGTATGGTCCCATAGAGTACTGTCATCAACTCCTCCATTCGCCGGATTAGCTCGCTTGAGAGTCCGAAGTGGAGAACGAAGATGGCGTAGTACAAGATTTTTTCCTCAGTAGCTAAACTAGACTATAATAATGCGCATTTACTCGACTAACTGATATGCTTACAAAGTTGAGATGTAGATCGAAGACCCATGTAGCCAGAAGATGAGGGCTCTCCTGAGAAGCCTTCCAGCAAAGGATCGCGGGGCACCATGCCCGGTTCTTCTTAAAAGCCCAAACTCGCATTTGGCAATTTTGATTTTAGAAATTGAATTTCTGCTTATTGCTGTTTATTCGTTGTTCGTTTTTGTTTCAGGAACGTTGAATTTGAGACATTTGGTAGGATTAATCAAGCGCTAAACATCTGATAGATGGAGTCTTGAAGAAGAACGGAACCATATCAATATACCTCATGTAGAACTCATACATGCAAAACTGCTTTTTGAGCCTTTTTTACATTTTTTCCTGCTGTTCAAATTTACGGTTGAAAGGAAAACGGAAACACTTACAAGGGAAGGACACTTGGTCGAAGTGGCGCTTCCATATGAAATGTACACGGTCTTATAGAGCATGAAACGCTGATTCCAAATCTGCTTTCGCTAAGGCTTTGGCCATACTTTGCCCGTGTTGCCGGTGTTGAAAGTGTTGCCGGTGTTGAAAGTGTTGAAAGTGTTGCCAGTGTTGAAAGTGTTGAAAGTGTTGCCGGTGTTAAAAGTGTTGAACGGAGATCATCAGTCTAGCAGTTTCATTCTTTCTCGAACGATCTAACCGGCTGGTGAATACGTTGGAAACGGAATTGGGGAATGAGAAATGAAACTGAAATGAGATGGGGAATGTTTTCGCATTTGAAAGATCCTTAAACAAACTTTTTGGAAAGTGGACGGCTTGTCTGGAATAGGCAATCTCCAATATTTGAAAACGCTGCAGACCTCATTTACATAGGTCCTTCACTCACTAATCGCAAGCGCGGCAGGATTCGAACTAAAACACATTACTACTCAGACGTCAGCTTTCCCAAATATTGGAGATTGCCTATTCCAGACAAGCCGTCCACCTTCCAAAAATTTAGTTTGAGCATCTTTTGCATGCGAAAATCTTCCTCTCATTCCGATTTCATTTCTCATTCCCCAATTCCATTTCCAGTGTATTCACACGCCGGTGAGATCGTTCAAGAAAGAATGAAACTGCTAGACTGATGATCTCCATTCAACACTTTCAACACTGGCAACACTTTCAACACTTTCAACACTGGCAACACTTTCAACACTTTCAACACTTTCAACACCGGCAACACTTTCAACACCGGCAACACGGGCGAAGTATGGCCAAAGCCTAACTGCAAAGCGCTCTCGGTAGAAGATTCATGGGAATTCTCTGGAGTAAAAAATTCAAGGGTGGGCTAAGGCAAAACGAGGTATTGAGGTCTTTCGTGCGGTTGGAAGTGGTGATAGCATGGGGTTATTGGACTGAACGTAGCAACTGCATGAAGCGCCTTGGCAGTAATTAGGCTCAATTTGAAGTCACAAACTACAGTTCTGAACAATTTTATAGTAGCGACGCTCTTAGATTTTTGATTGGAAGCACTTTGCAGATACCAAAAACAGATTTGGAATCAGCATTACACGCTCTATAAGAAAGTGTACGTTCCATATGAAAACGCACTTCGACCAAGTATCCTTCAATTGTTAGAGACATCCATAAAAATGGACAGCAACTTGTAACATCCAGCTGATGTGGCACATATGTCCTACATCACTTGCAAGCAACTGGTTTTCTTTTGTACATTTTTGGTGTGAGCTAAGTGATCCGAAATCTATGTCAAAATCTTCTATCATGTTCTGTCTTGTCATTTGGAATTATCCAATGAACCATGACACTTTGCTCCCCTTATGGGAGTAAAGGGCAATGATACTATTCCACCCACAAGTCAAAGATGCAAACCTCAGAGTTAAGTGAACAATAATGATAATCAAGACAATGATATGCATGTAGGGCATTTATTGAGGGGTTAGCAGATGGTATGGAGTCAAAATCTGCAGTTTGACATTGCCTAGGGAAGGGAGAACGGGAGTAATTCGACATGCTGATCATAAATAGTATAATATACTCTTTCAGCGTTTGTAGGCAGTCGATAAAGGGTTGGAATCCATTTGACTAAAATTTGACAGCGGTTACTGACACGCTACCAGCACATACCAATTGAGCGTTCTAGACCTTTTCGACGATGTTACGGTAGGTGTTTGGTAAGAAATCGTATCGCAGACCACCAGAAAGTTTATGGAATTCGATTGAAACACTCACAAGTACCGCGGTCCGCCTAAATTCACAAACGCTGTTACAAAAGGTTTACACGCGGGGGTCAAAGTCACAGGCTTGCCTACAATTTGGCGAACTCGCGTGAACAATTGCATAGGAACTACCTAAGTAAATATGCGACCCTTAATACTGTATACAGCAAGCATGTGAAATAGTCCGGCAGTCGCGCAGGGGGCAGCAAAGGCTTTCCGTTTCTGGTTATGGAAATACGAGTGCTTCAAACTTCGGCGCGCCTCTGATTATTGAATATGATTTATGCTTAATTGTTCGTAAACTTTCCGAGCGTGATAAATTGCGAGATACAGGTTTCATGTTTCTCAGAACAGATGAGACGTGAGCTAAAAAGCTCATAGAAATCAATCTCATTCGACATCAAAAACGGTATAATGAGATCGATTTCTAGATTGATTCCGAAGAATAACCTGCTCTGTGGGACTGGTCTATCTTGCTCTTGCGGCAGAATTACTCCCTTCTATTTCACTAATTTCGAAGAAAACTGCCTCGAACCCAAGGTTTATTTAAGTTGATACCTTATAGCTGAGATTTGAAAGACGCAAAATTTCCAACTTGGTCCAGAGTGACCTATTCTTCAAGAGCATTTCTTTTCAGTTTTCTTGCTCGTAAAGTAAACGAATAGTGCGAATATATTCAAATGCGAGGAATTTTCATCTTCAGGGATTCCCCATAGCAAAGGGCGGTTAGCTTTGCTGCTTCCTGCCTAACGTCCAACCCCTAGGCAACATTACAGCAGACTCCGAGATTTCTCATACCGTATGCACCGTAACCTTGGAAAAACTACCATGCGAAAGATCATTATTCACCTGTACAGCACGCAAGTACCCCTACCCTATGCGATTTGGACCACCACAACTGAGATCTTGCATTTTTTTTGTTGTGCTAGTGGAATAGCGTCGAGGCCAAGCCATAATAAGGGGCCTGTCATACTTCGTTCAAAGCGCCCAAAAGTGCCACAACGTCCCTTCGCGAGGCACCTCTTCGAAAAAAAAAACGGTCAACAATACAATTGACTTTCAATACCTTAAGGATTCGTTGCCCCTTGGAAACACAGATCAAAAGTCGTGACGATAACATCATGTAACTTTCTAGTATCGGGACATATCTCAAAAACTAACGCTCTACAGCCAAAAGTGGCGTTCTGGCGGTTTTCGGCGTCCCTGCGCTTTTGGGCGAAGTATGGCAGGTTCAGACATGTTTCCTTCTTGAACTTGAGCGTTCGCTCACTTTGATGAACTTGATGAACTGCTTCTGCTACTGGCTTTGCATTAACAGTAAATAAGCAAAGCATGGTGTTGAGAAAGGGTAGTAGATGACGATAGTTTTTAATGCAAAGCCATTCTGCTAAAGCAATTCAAGAAAAATAAAGCAAGTGAGAGGAAGACAGACAAAGTAGGATGACAGGGCGGAGAATGCAAAAGGCCCTTCACTTCGAATTCCAGAAGTTAAATGAGTAAAAGAAGAAAATTCAAGGAAGAAGACTGATTTGGAATGAGTCCACCACAAGCAGAGTTATTTGACCTGAGGGACTTCGAAAAAAGGCAGCAGAAAGAATAACTCTGATCGATAGTGGACCACAGAGAAAGAACGTGGAAAATGCTGTTTTAAAATGACAACAAAACCCACCTGCAGCTGCCGACGAAGTCTCCGGCTCTCGTGGTTCTTCAACGATTTCGACATCGACCGATCCTGGAAGTACAATATGTTAATAAAAACCATAAATACCCATGCCACTTTAATGTTGTTAAACATAGCCACTTAAGCGAAGTTACATACCTCCTTGGGCAGCTATTTCCCGAAGACGTCGCGTATGTTCGACGTCCAGCTGCCGCTGGCGCATCCTTTCTTCGAAAGCTCCTGGAAAGAACATGTATTTCGCGAAAATCTGTTCCACCACAAGAATCTATAACAAAACTCACTTCCATATACTCCAACTCCTCTTCTGAGGCCTCGCGCACCAGACATTTTCGGATGAATCTGAAAAATAAGCATAACTAATTCTATGATTCATGCCATTCTACACTAAAAAACGATACGAAACGGCAAACAAGATGGATGGAATTGGAGAGTGATACGACTTGTGTGAGAAAGCTGATTTCACTACATTGGCCATGATAGAATGTTGAAATCCGAACATAGCCTCTTTGGCAAACGGTCAGGATGTCGAAATCCATTGTTTTCGACCACGGTAGGCGCAATTTGGTGCACTCGCCGCACTTTTGCACACTGGAGCGGCCGCCGGCCGGCATTTTTACTCGAACGGTCGCCAGCCGGCATTTGGCCCCGCCCCAAATAATGGAACGGCCGCCGGCCGGAAGGCCGTCGTCGAACGGTCGCCGGCCGGTGCGAGTGTCTGAGGATTTGGAGCGAACTTTGCTGTTCTGAATTATAAGGTTGACATCGATGAATTCGCGATGAGTGCGATGATCAGAAAATTTGCTGAATGCAGACTGTGGAAGCTCGTTTAAGAAATTGAATAAGTGACTGACGAATCAGAGACGAGCAATTTGTATATCTATGCACTCCATAATTAGACTGGCCTGATTCTGAGTTGTAGCTGGGATTACACCTGCTACACAACCTCTTAATTGCCGGCATAGTTTCTGCGCAGGCTAAACATGTGCCAGAACTCGCCATATGTGTTAAAGCCGCACGCAAGCTCTTCAATCGGCGAGAAGTGAGAGTTTTTAGAAATCGTCACACTCAATGTCACGAACAGATTGTCTCGCATAAAGATACAAAGATATTGGTCTGCAAGATATTGGTTGGATGAACGCAGTTTTCTTCTACATGGAGTTGATGAACGGCAAAGTACGAGGTTTAACAACTACACATGAAAAAAAGGGCGCTACTCCACATTAGTTTTGACCCAAAGAATGAGAGTCGAGAATTCCGCTGAAATTTTGTCCAGAGGAGTTATTTTGCACCTGATCACGATTATCACGCTCAACAGGGTACTGCCATCTGGCGAAGTTACGGTAGGATTACGGTAGGGGGTCAAAATCACTATTTTCCCACAAACTTTTTCTAGGGGTTCATTTCGCACTGAAGATCAAACCATTTCGTACGGTAGCGCCATGTTCTCGGATTACGGTGGATATGCAGTAGCTAGCTAAAAATCCGGAATTCGCTCAAAACTTTGCCTGAATGGTTGCAAATATCATGCTCATTCGCTGCTACACTGACTTATTGTTAGAGTTATGATGAACTAGAGAGCGTGAAAAAGCAACTTTTCCGTTTCTCAGCCAAATTTAGGCTCCAAAAATCCGCGAAAAGGCTTCGCCACGCACCCCGCCACCACGCATCAGAAAAAAATTTTTGTCCCCCCCCCCCCCCGTCCCCGAACGGAAATCGCCACTGCTGCACAATGATTCGAGCTGCTATATGACTTTAGCCACCTACCGTGCACTACCGCAATTCTGCGAAAAAGTTCCAAAACGCAAAAAGAGCATGATTTTCGTAATTAGCGTGCCTGGAAAAACCCCTCTAGGCAAAGTTTTGAGCAGATTCGGGATTTCGCCCTTTTTACTTAGCGCATGAATTGAAGAGTGGGGTTAGGGCTACGGTGTATTCGGGGGGGGTCTACTACCTAATACTACCAAAATATGACAGGGGTCCATTCGCTGACCCACTGCCTTCAAAGGCACCGTTCACCCAAAATGGGGTCGATGAAATTTTGATGCCTAACGGTAGTGGGGCCCCCGAGTATATACTTATCCAACTCGCGCTGGCAAAAGTTGCTTCCGAAGCGAGAAGATTGCTTCGAAAATCGCTCGGATGACAGATTCGCCACGTTGGCTCCTCCCCTTTGAGCGTGACGTTCGTCTCGTCCATCCGTGAGCGCCCAACCAATCACCCTTCCGAGGAAATCGCTCTACGGGTTTAAAAACGGGGGTTTTCGTGGTTTTCGCATTTCCGACTTCATATTCGAAATCAGAGGTATGAGAAGGCCCTGGAACGGCAAAAACATGGAGGCCGGAATTTTGGGTGGACGGTGCCTTTAAGCAATCAGATAAACAGAACTTGACACGATGAATACTACCATTCTTTCAAAAAAATTCCAAAAAAAAAGAAGAAAGAAATGGTTAGAAAGCAATTTATCAGCTTACCTTTCAAGCTTGGTCCCTGAAAGGTACAGATTTCTCAGCTCCGGCGTGGTAGTTGGCTCTTTCGTTAACTCCACATAAGATTAGTTCAACAGCGGATATCCATCATAAAACATCATAGAGCTAGGTAAAAGAAGCTGTCTAGAGGTGGAGGCAGTATTGTCGCCAAGCGACAACAAGAAAAAACAAGTAATTATCCGAGGTTTGCAAGATACAGTACTCCCATGCTTGCAAACTTTACTTCAGGCCATTAAAAACAGCGTGTCCTAGTGACTCAAAGTGGCAGCTGCGCCAGATGGTAGCGACGATCCCGACCAAGAGAGGCGTCAGCACATTCGTCATTTATGCTTTAGCTCAAGTATTGCGGCGTAGTCGTGTTTAACAGTTTAGTTCGCTTTAAGCGTAGAAACTTTTGAATGCTGCGGAAAAGGCTTTAATCGCGTTTAACGTTTTCAACCTTCATTGCCTAAAATCCTAAAATTTAGCATGCGCATTTTGTCTGTGTTTTTGTTGATCTAACCTCCACATCATAGTTCTCATTTAACGATCATTTCACTTATGTATTTTTATATTGCTCACTTATGCGTGCTTTATTCGTGTATTTGTTGATTAGTATTTAGTCAGTAAAAGGTTTAATTACCCAAGTTTGAGGTGTTGTGTGTGTGGTAAAGTCCCGCGTGGCGTATTCGGCTTGTTGGTATTCACACAAGTGGTATTCGAGGTTTATCGTGTCCTAATATCACTTATCGTCACTAATTTATCTCAACTGGTGCATCGGACAATCAAGGACCAGGACCGAGAACAAGAGGTTGGTACACAAGCTTTAGTAACAACTTCTTGTAACAAGCGGAACTGTATTCATTTTCGTCATAGCAGTTCTCAGTTCGCATTCCGCCAAACAAGCCCAAATCCAACATTTATATTGCATTTTGACACATTGGCACGCTCTACCGCGCAGAACGAGTCAACTTGCATTCATTACTTCATTACAAGAGGAATTTCCGATTAATCAGCATTTTGGAATATCAGCTCGCATTGCTAATTTCCGATCAATCGCATAAACAAGTCAACCTCTTCGCGCACTACTCACAATAGCACGCCGCATCTTTGTTTCGAGCACTCATCATGTCAGCGCAATTATCGACTTACAAGCGTTTCCTATCAAAGTACGCGACGAAGCTTGAAACTGTACTCACGCGCTTCAAAAACGAGGGACTAGAGACAATAAAATTTCCTGATGAAGAGGCTACACCACTTAGCATAAATGAAAGTCAGAGACTATTAGAAGAAGGAATAGGGGCAATTGAGACTTGCAATACGAAAATACAAGAAACTTTACAAAACTATGCGATAGCATTAGACAAGAATGGATCATTAAGCGAAAAAGAGTTAGATGATTTCGAACTGTATTCGAACAAGGTAGAAATGGTACTTTCTTCTTCTTTGGATTATATTGTACTCTTGAAAGGTCGATTGAACGCATTTACGTCATATCAGGGAGCACGAGCGACGCGCATAACAAGCAACAACAACGCTGACTCAGAGGGCGCGATAGGGGTCAAGAAAATTGAACTACCAACACTTCCAATACCAACATTTTATGGAGATATATGGGAGTGGGATAATTTTTGGACCTTATTCGACACAAACGTAAATTCGCAACCTCTACCTGACCTTTACAAGTTCAACTATTTGATCAAGGCGCTAAGAGGAGAACCCCTTCAAGCAGTGAAGAAATTTAGAGTGTCACAAGACAATTATGAAAAAGCGGTAATTTTCCTAAAAACGAAATACGGGGACAAAGAACAATTGATAAATCGACTGTACGAGAGGCTAGAAAAATTACACTCAAACTCACCATCCATTAGAGATCAGCGAAAACTTCTGGAGCAGATTCAAACGATAGTGGCACAATTACAAGAAAAAAATGAACATGTCGATAACCAGTGCATGATCAAACAAGTCCTTTCGAAGTTTCCGAATAAATTGCAAAGAAAAGTGTTAGAACGCGAATATACACAAACAGAAAACACCTTTGGCATGGAAATACTCCTCAAGCTTCTCGAAGAATTCATCACTACGGAAGAAAAGGTGTCACTTTTTACAAGAGAAGCGACTCCTAAACAACATCCAGTATCCCCGACATTTCCTAAAGTGAAAGAAGAGTCAACTCGATGGATCAACATCTGCATGTACTGTGGAGAAGATCATAAAGCCATAGCATGCACCAAATACACAACACCCCAATCCCGCGCACAATATCTACGAGAGCACAAACTTTGTTTTATTTGTGCATCTCCAAAACACATAACCACGGAGTGTAAAAAACGGATGTGTTTTGTGTGTCAAGGACCCCACCACACTTCATGCTGCTTCAAGAAGGGACAAGCGAACGAAGACACGCCCAACACGTATCGAAGCCCCTACCCACAACCCAAACAACAGCAGAATCCCTTCCCACAACCCAAACAACAGAAGAGCCCCCACCCACAACCCAAACAACAGAAGAGCCCCCACCCACCACAACCCAAATCTACAACACCCACTTCAACAAAAGTCAACCAGACAAGTGAAGAAGCGGGAAAGAAACAGGAATCGACCGCCGTTTGCGAGCTGCATTCGTTCAAGCAAGCACCGAAAACCAACCTAACGTATCTTCCAACGGGACAACTACTGGTGATGGATCCAAATACCAAAAATTTGCGCAAAATCCCGGTCTTGTTGGACACAGGAGCAGAGCTATCCTTCATCGACGCAAGTCTAGCAGAAGAACTGCACCTGCCAACGATAAAAACAACGAAACTTCGCTTGAGTACCTTTGGATCGGATAAGGTAAACGAAAGCCTGAGTCGTAAGGTG